AACGTAGTGAAACCAGGAGTTTACCGGCTCGAAGCCTTAGATGGCGAGTTGATTCCACGAGCTTGGAACTCACTCAACCTCAAAAGATACTACAGTTAGATCGGCACCTCCTCGAGGTCGGCATCGTCAAAAAAAAAAAAAAAAAAAAAGAGGGAATAGTCCCTATGAACTACGAAGCGGTTTGATCCCCGAAAGGGGTACGTAGGCAACCTATCCTCGGATGGTGCAACTGCTCCCCCTCCCAAAACAGGGCGGGACTCAATTTTTCTTTTAAATCTTCAAATCGTCTTCGTTTTGTAAATTAAATTCAATAAAATCTTTTTCTAAGAATATCGTGTTCATTATCATATCGGCATCCTGGCCAGATGCTCGATCCGCCTAAAGCTAAAGTCTGATCCACTTTAGCTCGGCAACTTAAAAGCCAAGTCCGTCTTGCATTCTACAGTTTTACCTGTTTTCCTATATCCGAGCCATGCATTGTTATCAGCCAAGTCAGTCTTGCATCCGCAATCGACTCGGGTACTTCTAAGTGGTACCGATGATCAACGCCGACCTGAATCGCACATCGGGTATTCACACTTAGAAGCGAAGTGGTACGAACAATCATAAGTCGGGCCTCCCGCACGTTCGTATTCACACTTCAGTATTCAAGCCAGAATCCGCACTGCAATTCTTAAGTCATGCGGAATATGAATTTAAATCGCACAAACTTAAGCCGATATCACATCGCCGTTGTGTTCAGATTTTCAAACTCAAATGCTAAGTTTTTCAAATAGAAAACTTTCATAAAAAGGTACATGATTACATAAAACGAATATTACAAAAATATTTAAGAAAAAAGCTTAGTCTTCGGCCTCCTGACTGCCAACATGGTCGGCATCGGCCTCTTAACTGCCAACGTGGTCGGCATCGATAACACCGTCTTGATCGACTTCAAGCTCTTTTCCCTGGTCGGCCCCTTCCGGAGCCTTGGCCGCATCAAGCTGAGCATCACTGGAAACTTCAAGGAAGACTTCCGCTTCTTGAACTTGGAGTTCGTCCGACGTGAAGCTGACTTCTTCGAAGGCCTCCAGTTGTGCCTTACTCTCGCTAAGAAGATTTTCAATATTCTCCTCCACCAGGGCCGGAAAGCTGTAACCTTGCCGACGAACGATCTCAAGCGCCCTTTTTGCTCCGACCCACTGAGTAGCCGTCGAAATCAACTCGTGGGCTTTCGCCTTCCGCGCAAGTGATTCTCTCACCTTTGCGACTAAACCCGCATAATGATTGTTCACCGCAATCGTCGTGCGCTTTGCCACTTCTTGCCCGAAGGCAAGTTTCTCTTCCGTCACAGCCTTCTGTTCGGCCTCCAGCTTCTTTCGAGAATCAGCCCTCTCTTTCTGGATCTTCTTCGCCATTCGATTGAGAAGTTTGCTTTTCTCAGTATCATCGGCGCGAACCTTCTCGAGTTCCTCAGAAGATTTATGAAGCGCGTTTTCCAGCTCGGCCCTTCTTCCCCGTTCAGCCTCGAGAGCTTCCTTAAGACTCTCCACTTCGGCTTCCACGGCCAGAAACTTCTTCGCGTCCCGGTCGTACTCATTCACGGCAGTCAATACCGTACTCAGAGCCTGTATTCACCAAAGAAAAAAAAAATCAATCAATCAATCATTCAGAAATTTCAATGGGCCTGCAAAAAACAAAGGCATTCGGGACATTTTTTACCTTGGCTTGTTCATGCGCAAAGCGTGCAATCGCATCGCTGCGAATGTACCCGCGAGGGTCAGTAGATGGGCCTGCCGGGTTATCTCTTAGCTTGAGGAAATAATCCAGGCAGGATACCGAATCATGCACTATTGGGCTATCCCCGCGGTACTCGTAGGAAAACCCGAACGGGCGAAGTTGTCTCTCAGCATGAGACTTCTTTGACGTCCGCGGTTCGGAATTTTCTGCCGAACTCCTTTTCCTCGGGTTCATGGGGCTTCCATCGCCGCCTTCAGCCCCACCTACGACATGACACTGATCGACATCCTTCCTCAGCCCTTGGTCGGTCTCTTTGCGAGCTTTTTCAATCTTCTTAGCAGCCTTCCTATCGGCCGATTTCTTAGCCTTGGCTGCTTCCCTCTCAGCCTTGCTCAGAGCCTCCTGCTCGGCTTTCTTAGCCACGGGATTCTCTAGATTCTGAATTGGAGACACTAGGGCAGTTTCCAGATCGGCAGATAAATCCTTGAAAGCAACAGACTTCATCTTCTCTCGTCGTCGGGAGCGTCGTTCAAGCGCAACTGAGAAATGAATTTAAAATGAGGTCGGATGGAAAGCCCCCAGATCAAAGCAGGTTTAAAAGTCAGATCGAACAAACCTCTCGTCCTCGTAATCCTTTCTTCCGTGATCTCCGGCCAAGTGATCGCGCTAATCGCAGCGAACCGGTTGGAGATATCGTCGATATCGAGAGGATCGTCAACAAATGGAAGAGGCCTGTTTCCTGTAATATAAAAGACTCGATTAGAAGAAAAAAAAAATATATAGCGTTAAACTATATTGCATATCGGTCATGTCTCTACCCATGACCTCCGCCCATTTCGTTCTGATCGGGATATCTCTATCTGTTTTGGCGATGGAAAATTCGTTGATTAGCACGAAGAAATAGCGATCTCTCCAGTCCGCCACCTTGGTCTTATGACCACCAGTCACAATGTTGTATCGAGTCTTCATACTCGTATAATACGACCCCCGGTTCCTCAAATTGGCCTTCGTGCGACGGGTGTTCGTCATGGCATCAAACGCTGTTCGACTCAGTGGGATATCGTGCCTGGTCGACATCACTAGCATGCTGACAATCAGCCGTATCGTCGCATGGGTAAACTGGCTGATCGGCATTTCTTTGTGGGCAGCAAATTCCAGAAGAAGCCTCAGGAGCGGGAACCACAGATGGAAGTCTGTGAAAAAACACTCGTGTAGACATAGCCATCCTGTAGGAGCATCCCACGGTCGCTCCGACGGGCTCGGAACCATGAAGATCACCTCAGGACCGATGTCGCATTCTTCCTTCAAGGTGACCAGTGATTCCATTGTTGATTTGGTCGGCATCACCCCGAGAGCATTGTCGCAGATCGGCCTAACTGCCGGCTCCCCTTTTCGCCTCTTGATCCTCTCCACTGGCGGATTCATATCGATGATTCCGAACTGGTTTACTTCGTCTTCGACAATAATGGCGTTCAGCTCGTCCGAGATATCCATCTCGTTCGACCCACCTCTCACATCGTCTTCATCACGCAATTCTAGAATCTCGAATTCGACCCTGGACGATGTCTCCCCAGACCTTTGGGCGATTCCAACTTGATCGGCATGGAACCGATCAGCCGCAGCTTGCTGGTTCATCTCTCGAACGCGTTCTTGGAAAGCACGATCCAACGCCGACAACTCGCTCGCATCCGAAGACCGATCCGACTCTGGTTCCTCAACAACGACCCTTTTTCCCTTCGATCGTCTTTTGTCGACCTGATCGTCAGCTCTCTTTGGTGCCGATCTGGTTTCCTCTGACCCTGGTCGCCTCTCCCTGATCTGAATACTTTTACCCATGCTTGATCGGCGTTCAGAACGAAACACGGCGGAGGTCTAGTCGGCAGATCTAAAAAAAAACTAAATAAAAGAAGAGGGGAGAGCAAACCTGATTTTGACAGAGTTTCGCTAGAAATGCAGAAGTGAGGAAATTAAAGCCGAACCCTCTTATTTATAGAAATATCTGGACGGTTATCAAGAATCATCATGAGCACGGCGACTCCCCGCATTTCTTCTCATTAAAGTTTAATCGGCTTCTTCGACTTCTCCTGCTAGGGTTTGACACGTGTCAACCCTAGTTCGGCATGCGTGGGCCTAGGCCTAACCTACATCGTTTTTGGGCGGGAACTTTTCGCGCCCAAAATCACAATCTGGCCCTCATCACCGTGCCGATCAGAAATCCAGGTAATATTTTGCAGCCGACCAGAATTTATATCGAACAGCATTTCTTTAAATTCGACAAGCAATGCACCCTCACTTGTCGAACTGGGGGGGGGGGGGGGGGGGGGACTTACTGTTAGAGATAAGATTCGTACCGTCTCTAACAAGCCCGATATGAATTCTAGTCGGCCCATCTAACAATTCCCAGGTCGGCAACATAAAAGGAAAACTTCCATTTATCAAGCGACCCGGAGAAAAAGGAAACTCCTTGACGACGAGAGTTTCTTATTCCGAACAGGATGAAGACCGACCTGATCGGGTATAAATATAGGAAGTCCTCGACTTCTCAATCAATCCGAAAATCATTAATCCAGACCTAGAGCAAACTAAGCAATCAGATTGTTCTAGCTTTTTGGTTAACTTTCCTTAAGAGTTTTAGGTCGGCGTTCTTATTCCGACGACCTAAACACCGTTGTATTCAATCAAGCTCCGGCTTCTTCTAATAAAAGATCTCTTTAAACCCTTTCAAACCCTAGTTCTTTCATAGCTCGAATTTGGGTTTTTACAGTTAATAGAAACAAGATTACAAAATAATAATTTCTAAAACAAAATTGAAAACATTCATAAATTAGAAAAATCTAAAACATTCACCTTTTAGAAACATACATATTATATACATAACAAATAAATAATTTTTTTTCTTCAAATTAACACAATTGTAATTTACATATATGGACACAAAATTGTATATTCTCTGTGTAAAGATATACTTATAAGACTTTACTTATACATTACTTATTACAAAAATATATGCAATACAGAAAAAATAGACTAGCATAACTCTATTTTAAATATTAATATATTAAAATTGTATATTTAAAAAATAAAATATATTTTTTATGTAAAAGAAAATGGCTAAAACACTAAGCATCCACATCAACAAAATATGTTATGCCTCTGTCCACTAACCGAAACACCTGTCTCACCACTCTGCTCTTTAACGTTAACTGCAGTTTGCTTTGCCCTTGTTAGCCATGAAGACTCGTGGTTATACCTTTGATTCCATGGCGTTGTGTAGAGGCTTATTAAGTTAAATCCTCAAGGCCAGGTCTGATCTTTAAAGTTAGTACATAAATTTTGAACAGCAAGAGAGGCGCAAAACCAACATTGAAGAGTTCCAACATCAAGAACCAACTGTTCATTAGTGGGTTTTCTTATTAAGCTTCGGAGTTATAGAAATTAGACTAAAACCATAAGAACATCTAAAATTCAGGATTAGATTACGAATCACACGATTCAGGCAGTTGATTATATAAAGATAAAAGATGGAGACTACCATATCGTGAAAGCACAAAGAACAGAGATCATAGTTACAACAACTGTACATAGCTGTACAAAGCTTTGGACTAAAGCATTACATAAGCTAAACAAGAACTTGAGCCTCATAGTCTTCAGACTCTTCACATACAAACAACAATGCTGCATAAGTCTATAAACAACAGTTTGTCTCCATAATCCGAAACATAGTTACAATATATGTACAAAGCTTTAACTAAAACAATACATAAGCCAAATTAGAATTTGAGCCTTCAAAGTTTTCACAAACAATCAACATTGCTAGTTTTGCCTACTGGAATTGCAGAAGGGAAACAAGTCTTTAAAGAATCAATTCAACTTCGACTGTTTATATCCGAGTTTGTAGATCATGAACGTGTACACTTGATGCCCTCACATATAGCCAACCAAATACCAAAGAGAGTCAAGCAAATAGCTGCATCAATAGCAAGAACAATCTGAACTAGACGCCGCCACTTCCATTCGAATCTCTGCGAATCAGAACGTCCCCTACTCGGTACATACTCCTTCTGCAACGACGTTGAAGCATCAGTACGCTCTGTTCTGTTCCCTTTAACATTAGATTTCCTGTGCTCTTCAAGCTCAATGCCTCTAAGTGAGATCACATGATCTTTCCTTTTCTTCTTCTCTTGCTTGCTTGGCCTCCCCAAAAGCGGGGCGTTCGTGGAACTATTCACAGCTTCGCTTTGTTGTTCAACAAGATCACTGCTCTTAGACATCAAATCGTTGTTGTTAGCCTCAGCGACACGCTCAAGTGAAGCTATGAGTTTAGACACAACGGGAACAAGCTGATCTTCAACATTGACTGAACCAATCATAGCAGTAAAGCTTCTTCCTTTACAATTGTTCCTCGCAGCTTTCTTGAATTCGTCTCTCAGATGCTCTAGAAACCTAAGCACGCTAAATTTCCCTAAAACCTCATCAACAATGGCGAAATACACAAACCCATCTCCGATTAGAAACCCAAACCTCCTCTTACCTATGGATTCGAAGTACCAATTGTGAAAAGGCGGAGTCTTTTCCAAACACAGAGCCGCGAGAGTCTCGTTGCTGTGATCTCCGCCGTTGTAAGCGTAAAGAATCTTACTGTCTCTAGAGACACAACAGTAGTGAACTGTGTTCTTGATTAAACCCATCGGAGTAAAAGGAAGGAGCTTTTTTTTTTTTGTTAAGAAATCAAATTGAGACAGAAGAGGAAAGAGGAGAAGTCTGTGATTAGGGCGAAGAAGAAGAGAGAAATTGCGATGAAGAGGTCAGAGAAAAAGTCAAAGAGAAGAAGAAAGTACCAACAGAATCCTTCAGCGATGTATTCAAAATCGAGGATGAATTCTCTCATATCCCTCTCTAGGGTTCTGAATCATGAGTGAAAAAATAAAAAAGGTTCGAGCTTTGAGTTTTTTTTTTTCTATCTTCGGGAAGAAATGGCAAAAAGAAAAACGAAAAAGTCAGAATCGGAAGACCAAAGAAGACGACGTGGTCCACAACTTGAAAGGACAGAGAGGCCAAGTGGATATAATTTGGGAAAGTATGATATTATCGGATACATACTATGATCATCATACTATCAATTATACAATTCATATTATCACTGGACAAACAAAGCAAGCACATAAAATAGTACAGTTTTATAATCATTTTTCATCGGTTTTACTCCAAACAAGAATCACACATTCCCTTGAGCTAGTAACTCGATACGGACATTCACACAGCTAGTTAAACACCATGTATAAATTACAGTTCACACTTAACCATTCACAATTATAGAAACATTAACCTTGCTAAGCAGATCCACTAACTTATACAAGCAATCAATGAAAATCAGATAACCTAGCAATCAAACGATTCCTTATACAGACCACAATCACGCACACATCTTAGACACGACGACAAATGTTTCAGTCGAATGAATCTCGGTGATTTCTCGATCAGAAACAGAGATGTCAGACACACTTGCGATTTCTCGGCTATCGCTCAGACTGGTCCAGCAAAATCTCAACACCTCTCGGCTATCTCTCAACTTGTGCACTTTTACTCAGGCACGACCATGTATTCCCTCGGAAACAGTACAAAACAGAACTATTAGTCTGTTGTTACCCTACGGAAACTCAGCACTAAACAGAATATCCGAACACTTACCAGATTCTCTCGGACGAATCGAAGTGCTCTCAGATATCTCACGATCCGCTCAGAACTCCACAGATGAACTCGGTTATTCCCTCGGAAAACCCTCAAATCAGAACGAATGGTTGGATCATATCCACAGAAACTCGGACAGAACACTCGATCTCTCGGTGATAGTCAGAATCGCCGGCGAAACTTCGATCTCTCTCGGCTAACTCTCGTGATAATCAGAATCTCTCGGATAATCTCTCGACTAATCTCTCTCTCGCTCTTTCTCTCTCAAAAAGTGCGGCTCTACCGTGAAAAATCACAGAAATCCACTTTTATACTCGCAAAACCTTGATAACCCGGTTATAGCCAGCATCTCTCGGTCCCAGTCAGGTTTATCCCGGTTAGCTTTAAGTTCTCTCGGCTATCGCCTAAACAGCTGGACCATCCACGCGAGAAACTTGTTTTTATCCGACCAAACTCACGGCCCACGGCCTTAGCCCATTTTTACTCAGCTATTTTCCTTTTCTCTCGGACATAGTCCACTTTCTCTCGGACATAGTCCACTTTCTCTCATACATAGTCCACTTTCTCTCGGATATGGTTCATCCTACTCGGCCAATCCAGCCATCCTTCGACTATTTCCCAGTCATCCCTCGACTATAGTCTGAACCTCCCATTTATACGGATTTTTTTTTCACTTGACCGAACTCACGTTCCTTCGGACAACCTCCTGTCTGACTCGATCATTCCAGATTTTCTCGGATACGGATGCTACAAAGTTCCTCCAGGAATAGTCTTTCCGAAACAGCTTCCAAGAGTACTTCTTTCGGAGAACTTCCTTCGGAAATAGCCTTTCTGAGACAGCCTCCAGGGGCACGCCCTCCGGAGAACTTCCTCCGGGAACAGTCTTTCCAAGACAGCCTCAAGGGGCACGCCCTCCGGGAACAGTCTTTCCGAGAGTCTCCAGGGGTACGCCTCCGAAGAACTTTCACAGGGAATAGTCTCTCTGGGCTTGACTTTGAAAGTTCATCTTATGGTGTGCATATTCTCTTTGGTGTGTAATATCCAAAGAAATCCTGTTCATCTTATGGTGTGTAATATCCTTAAGATCTTCAGCTTGGTTTGCAAAAGACTTTCACATCTTTTGTAGAATTTCCTCTCAAACTTCTTCCACCATTTCCCCCCCTTCAAACCGTCCATATGTCCTTGCTTAACTTTCAAAGTCAAGGTCTTGGCAAGATGATATGATCATGGATAGCATAAGGAGCTTGGAACATGGAGAAGTGCTTGAACCAGTGGAGCAGCATGAACCTGAGGAGCAGCTTGTAGCTGAGGACGTTTTTGGAGTGGAGAAAGAGTATGAAAAAGTTGTTATCTTAACCTCATTGGTTTTGATACATGATCATCAGATGGGCATGTGTCTCATTTGTACTCTTTTTCCCTTGTCAAGTTTTGTCCCAATGGGTTTTCTTGACAAGGTTTTTAATGAGGCAAATGTTACACATTCAAATCACCCATTTGATGATCCAGGCCAAGGCATGACATTCAGAATTCGACCCAATGGAGATGCTATGAAGACCAATGCATTTTATGCCCATTACAAGCCCAAGAAGAGTCCAAACCAAGTGCTTATTTTGCTGGTCAAGAGAAGTGACGAAAATAGAAGCTTAAGGGTCATATTTCCATGTTCAAACTTGTTTTAATTTCTTGTTATTTTCTAGACAAGTCAAGGAGCATGTTCCAAGACTTGTCTCTTCATTTCCTTCTTCTTCTCTTCTCTTTATAATCCCCCTATGTATTATGGACGAAAATCCATCTATCTTTTAATCAAAATCTCTTTTAAAATAGATCATCTCTTTGGTGTGTAATATCTAAAGAAATCCTGTTCATCTTATGGTGTGTAATATCCTTAAGGTGTTCAGCTTGGTTTGCAGAAGACTTTCACATCTTTTATAGACTTTCCTCTCAAACTTCTTCCACCATTCCCCCCCCCCCCCCCCCTTCCCTTCAAACCGTCCATATGCATATGCTTAACTTTCAAAGTCAAGGTCTTGGCGGGATCATATTATTTGGTATCAGAGCAAGCTTTGAAAGTTAAGTTTTTCTATCCCTTTTATTTGCATAATTTTTGTTTATATTTTTGTTATTTTTATTTCTATTTTATTTTAATTTTTCTGCAATTTTTCTTGTTTGATTTTTTTTTTCATCATCTCTGTTCAAATTTTGCTTTAAAAAAAAAAAAAAAGTTTTTCTGTTCATCTGATCATTTTAGCGAATTTTGGGTGTTCATCTTCTGATTTTTTGATACCTTTGTGAAAGTCTTCTGCAAACCATGTTCCAAGCTCTTTATGCTATCCATGATCATATCATCTTTTAATCAAAATCGATTGTCTTCCTCCCTCTTGCTCTTTCTTCTTGTGAGCTTCAAAGCTGTCTTTAAACCTGTAAATGACACTTTTGGTAAAGACAAGTGAATTATATCTGTGTGATCAAAGGTAAAATAATCTTTTTCATAAATTTCATTCACTTTGTCACAAATCAAAATGTGATTAGAACTCCAAAAATCACATAAAACATTTTGTTCCCCTTTAGAAAACGTTTTGACAAATTTAAACTCAGCCTTAGAAGTGTTGCTAAACAAAGAAATTTTTAAAGAAGGTTGAAATTCACAATATTTTTCAACTAAAAAGTCTTTTGGCTCAAAGAATTTTTCACTTTTAATGGTTTCAAAAACTGGAATCATTTTGTTAAAAATAGACTTTGAAACACAAAATTCTTTCACAGTTTCTAAACCAAAACATTTTTCAGCTTGAGCAAAAACCATTAAAAACAAATTAGGCTCAGTCCTAACCAAATCAAATTCCTTACATTGCTTTCTTGAGTGCTCTTTTGGAAATGGTTTAGGGACTGGTTTTGACATTATGCTGATTGGCTGCTCCACTTCAGTAATCAATGGCAAACTCTTTTGCTCTTTTTCTGGTGATTCTTCTTCTGCATCATGATTAAACACATTAGTTTTAATTAAAAACGGATCTAGACACTTACCTTGCACACCAATGCTTAAATGAGATTGTATGGACGCTTCTGGCTTTGTTTTCTCAAGCAATATGGGGTGTATTGTGTCTGCAGCTTGTTTCTGGTCCATTGCACGTTTCACTTCTGGTGACTCTTCTCTTTTGGACGCCTGAGCCTTTCTTTGATCAATGCTTTCAAAAAAACCACTCTTCTGATCTTGATGGTAGTGAGAAGCGTGCTTCTGAGCCTGCTGATCCCTTGGAGCATACTTGTTCCTCAATAATTTCCTAAGTTCTCTCCAAGTGGTGATTCTTGGCTTATTGTAAGACCAGCGCTCATCTTTTTCTTTTATCCACCATCTATGGGCTTTTCCAGTAAGAAAACTGATAGCATAATCAAGCTTATGCTCCCTCAGGATGTGGTTGTTGTAGAACCAATCATCAAGGTCTTTTTCTCACTTTAAGTAGTCTCCTTCTCCTGAAAAAGAGTTGAGTTGAATTTTTTTAGGAGCTTGATAATCATAATTGAAATAAACCTTTGAGTTAGGAGTGTGAGAAGCATGATGTGGTCTGCTCTGAGTTTTGTCTGGCTTCTTGGGCTTCATATCTTCATGTCTGGCGGATTTTTGCTTTGATGCTTGATTTCTCTCCTCTTGCAGTGCTGCAGAAGTGTTGTTCATCTCCTGTAAATACTTAGTGAATTCTTGGAGTAGGAGCTTATCCTTTTCACTGAGTTTGTCTTCAAGTACAGACTCCATCCTGTAATAAACAGAAACAACAACACCAGTAAAAAGTTCCAAACGAAAATCTCAACAAAAAAATCAGAAGATGAACACCCAAAATTCGCTAAAATGATCAGATGAACAGAAAAACTTTTTTTTTTTAAAGCAAAATTTGAACAGAGATGATGAAAAAAAAAATCAAACAAGAAAATTGCAGAAAAATTAAAATAAAATAGAAATAAAAATAACAAAAATATAAACAAAAATTATGCAAATAAAAGGGATAGA